TGCGGGTGGCGGGCGAGCTGCTGGCTGGCCGGCGGCGCGTCTCGACTCAAATTATGGGCCGCCTCTCGGGCGTGCGGCCAGGGGCCCGTGTGGCGCGAGGAGAGGGCGGCGCGCTCGGCGCGCTGGCGGCGGTGAAGCCTCTCAGAGTGGGCGCTGGCTGGCTGAGGGCGTCGGGCGGGTGTGGGGTGGCACTCGGGCCGCCGGACGGGCCGTGATGGCCCGTGTGGCGTTCGTGAGGGATTGTTTGGGCGCCCTGGCAGCCTCCCCGCCTGCGTGACCAGGGCCGGTTTGGCAGCGGTTTGGGCTGTGTGTGGGCTGGTCGCGGTAGGGGATATAGGGCTTGTTTATGGTCCCACTCACCACTCCCGGCCAACGGGGCCTCGCGGCACGCGGGGCGTCCTCGTTTGCAGTAAAAGGCCTCTGCCATCGCTCAGAGTCCCAATCCATGTGATCATCCGCGCCGCCGCGCCCGAGTAGTCCCCAGATGCGACGTCGTCGGGGAGGGCGTCGTCGCGGGCGCCAACGTCGTCATCCGAGCCCCTACGGCTGTCCAAGGGCACGTCTGGGTGACCAGGGGCGGGGGCCGAGCCGTGAGTGCTCCGCCGGGGCGAGCTTCTGGGTCCATGGGACCGCTGCCGGACCCATCCGAGAGCCTCTCCGGACACGTTCGCTCGATGGCCTAGTTGGCGGCCGATATTCGACGACCAAAGCTCCGGGCGCCGCGGCCAGAGGTCCGCCCACGGCCCCAGGACTCGTGGTGGGTGTGGGGTGTGCCTCACGAGGCGGAGAGGCCGCGTGAACGCCCGTAGAAGCTCGCGAAGTGCGGATTTGGAGCGCCGCGCCGGACCTCCGCCGGGGCCCGCCGGGGCGTCGTATGGGCCTCGGGGTGCCCGAGAAGCTTAGAGGTGCGGTTTTTTTTGCTTGTGTCTATCGGTTCATGTCATGGACCGGCCCTGGGAAGCCTTTGACCGCGCACGGAGGGTGTTACGGGGCCGTGATGATTTAGCGGGAGGGAAATCGGCTGGTTTGCCCAGTGTGCTGCGCGCTGCGGCGCGACGGCCGACGCGGACGCGGTTTCTTAATAGTAAAATTCTTAGATTTTGCGAAATCGCTCGGTGGTTTCTTAACGCCACGTTTTCTTAATGGCCGCAAATCTACCATGTTCTGCAGCCGTTGCGGGTGCTGTGTCCTGACTTCCTCGGGGTCGCCGCCCCCTCGGGCATGGCGACGCGCGTGTCCATTCGACCGGCCCGTCCTCTCCCCTACGCCGTCGGCAGACTACTGGTTAGTCGTCGCCAAAAACGCGTCATGGGTTGGCAAAATCCCGAAAGCAAGGAACGCCCGCGCGCAAACCCTGTCAGCAAACCCTGTCACAGTTCACCACCGGGAGCGGCCAGGACTCATAGACTCGGTCGAAAGACCTATAGATTGGCATGTGCTCTCTCTCTCTCTCTCTCTCAATAGGCAATAATAAGAGCCACATACATTACACTAAACATACATACACTGAGAAGACCAAGATCCTGCTACAGGGGGCAATTCTGCTGTGGAGAGCTACTGTAACCCATGCCTCGGGATTGGGGGCGCTTTTGGTCCAATTCTTTCACGAGGCGACCCCAGGCAACCGTGGATCTAGGTAAAGAAAGAAAGAAAGAAACAGAGAACCCAAGGGAGGGATGGGATCTAGGTGCACTTGGAGCAGGTAAAAGAAAGAAAGAAAACAGACAACCCAAGGGAGGGATGGGAGGACGGCACGCCGCCACCACACAGGGATTTTAAAAAGAAAGAAAGAAAGAAAACAGACAACCCAAGGGAGGGATGGGAGGACGGCACGCCGCCACCACACAGGGATTTTAAGGAGCAGGTACTACGCACGCGGAATTCTTTCCGACGGGCCTGCTGCCTTGCTTGGCCGCGCCGCCACGCCAGCCAAGGCGGCTCGAAGCCAACTTATGAAGGCAGTCCGCTCCGCCACCCGCTCGCGCAAGAAGTACGAGCACGTCGAGCTCACGCCGCTGCGAGACTCGGAGGTGGAGGACGAGCGCGAGTCGAGCGTGACGCAGCAGTGGCTCGAGTATGCGTGGCGAAAGTTGCTCGCTCTGCTGTGGATCCTCGTGGCGCTCGCGCTCGCCGTCTACCTGCAGCTGCCCGACATTGTCCTGACGGGTGCGACGCGCGACAAGCCTCACCGGCAGATGAATGGCTTCCTCTTCAACGTGGCGCTGGCCTGCTTCGGCGGATGGGGCTGCATCGCAGCGTACCTCATCGTCTGGGTCAAGTACGTCCAGAAGGACACACGCGAATGGGAGGAGGTATCGCCGCGAGCCATCCCGATCGCCACAATCCTGGCCGTGCTCTCGCTCTTCTCCTTTTGCGGCGCCTTTTGGCCCCTCTGGGGCTTCCTCTCCGTTCCCATCGTCTTCATGCTGTTCCTGGGCGTCCTAAACACCGCACACTTTGTGCCGATCTAGCACCTGGCCGCTCGAGGAGTCAGACCCAACCCTTCATTTGAGCGAACGCCCCGGGCGCCGGTACTCTTTTGGTCGCCTCATCCTCGTCTCGCCTCGTCGTGCCGGCCCGCGGGACGCGGGGCGGGAGCGGGCCGCCAGCGGGGACCGCGGACCGGGCCGGCGGCGCGATTCTCAAAGCGCAGTTTCCAGCATATTCCCGAAATAGCAGCGAGAGAAGACCTACGCTCATACGAAAAGGAGCCCAACGAATGCATCTCGAGGTTGGTGCTAGGGTTGGTGGGCCTCTTGTAGAGGTATTATGCGCGTATGGGAGCCGCTGGCAGTGGGTGCACCGCCACCGCCGCACCGGACCGAGCCGCCGGACCGCGCTCGGCGCTGCCCGCTGGGCGCGCCGCGCGGGAGCAGTGTGATCATGGCTGCATACACACTCTCTCCCGGTCAAAACAGGTCATGCAAAACGGGCCTTGAGTGTGACCGAAACGCGTACGCACCGCACATTGTCGGCCGATGCGCGGCTCGCCGCCCACCCCACGCGGTCCCTAGGTGTTATGTAGCATAAACACGCCGTCCGTGCAGGGCTCCTAGGCCATCACTAGGTCAGCTCTACGCGGCTAGCGCCTTGCGACGCCGCTTTCCCGACGCAGCCTCCTCGCCGCTCGCACGTCCCTGGGAGGGCGCCCGCTGCCGCTTGGGCGTCGCCTTTGGCGGCTCCTTGCTCGGCGTTGCCCTCGGCGTTGCCTTGCTCGGCGTTGTCCCAGCTGCCCTCCTCCTCTCAGGCTTTGCGGACGCCGGGCTGCGCCTCTCGCCGACCTTCTTCCTCCCCGCGCCTTCGCCGAGACCAAGCAAGCGCGCCGCGACCCGGTGCACCGGCCTGCCGATTTCCGCGCCCTCCTCGCTCTGAAGCCGCCACTCGCCGAGGCTGCTCGCAACGACGCGGCAGGAATACGCCAACGAGTAGCATTGCTGCAGCCACTCGAGTGCGCGCGCCGGCTTCTCGAGCATCTCGGCGCGGCCGTTGGCCGTGCAGAAGAGCGCGGTGAGCTCACTCAGCTCCGAGGCCCCGGCGTGGTGCGCGGCAAAGCGCTCCAGCACCAGAAGAGGGTCGAGCAGCAACGCGGCCCGCTGGCACACAAACGAGCAGCGGCGCAGCCGCATCGTGAGCCCAGACGGGTCGAGGTCCCACTGCGAGACGAAGCGGAGCTCCGACTCCGAGCCCACCGCCTCGCCCGTCAACGCGCAGGCCTGCTGCCCGCGGCGGGCCCGCACGAGGACGTCAGCGAGCGCGGCGCGCTCCTCTGCGCCGTTCGCGCCGCAGAGCGCGGCGAGCGCGGTGCCGCGCTCGCGGTCGTCGTAGCCATCCGGAATGACGGAGGGGCACAGCGTCGGGCAGCGTGCCCGAAGCTCGGAGAGCATCGCGCGAAGCCCGGCGACGTGGTCGTCGTGCGCCAACATTGTGGCTGTATGTTTTTATCTGTCCACAGTACTCGAGTAGTGTGTGTGGACGTATTTTCTTCTGTCCATAGACACCTCACAAGACCCCACACACGGTCTCGTCCGTGCCTTGCGGCCGGCGACGAGATTGCTAGAGGCGGAGCAAGCCTGCTCTAGTCTCACACGTTCGCCCCTGTCGCCTGTCTCCTGTCTGTGTTGTTGTGCTGTTGTTTGTCTCTTGGCACCTTGGAGTGCTGGGGGGGGCGACAGGGGGGACGTGGCCTGAGTGATGTGTACGCCCACTCAGGATGTGTGGCAGCCCGCTGGCTGTGTGTCTTGTGAGCTTGTTTGTGTCTGTGTGTCGCTCGTGCGTGTCGTCATCATCTGTCTTGCGTCCACCCATACCGCGTTGGTGTCCAGTCCGAGCCTGACTGTTCTTCACCTTACTACATACATACATTCTTCTCAATAACAAGGCTGTGAATCCATCTCAACGAGGGACACGTCACCGACATGTGCGAGATCGGCGGGGACCTGCAGTCCCAGAATATATAGTTAGAGGCTGCGCAGGCCGTCCCGTTTGCTGTTTGAAACGCCTGTTGCGCTGGCCGCGCTGCGCGCGCGCGCTGGCCGCTGCCGGGGCTCTGTCTCACTCTCACGTGCCGCAATATGTGTCACACACGGCGGCTTCTGCCACCTCTCGATTGGTTCTACTTTCTACGCACACCTACCGGGGAAGGGGCGCTTGGGAGCCGGGGCGGGGGCGGGGGCGGGGGCGGGGGCGCGCAGTAGCCCGGTCGAACACCCCGGGTCGCGATTTTGGCAAGTGAATACGGGCGCTTTTTGACGATGAAATAAGAATCTACTGCCCGAGGGAAACACATAGACACCCACATGGTTGACCAACCCTTACTGTGTGAGGGTCAGTGTTCACATTCACACCCCACTGGCACCGCGGCACTGTACAGTGTGCAGACCGACATACAGCACGCACAATGTAGCACTTATTAGTGAGCGCGCGCATCCCCCGCGCTCGCCCTCCACGGCCGGTGAGAGGCGCAACGCACATGCCTCCCTCGCGCACTCTAGCGGCTCGGAGAGGTCGGCCGGCGCGAGCACAACCCCAAGACGATGCCGTAAGCGGGTGGCTGCGCCGCCGCTGCGCCGTCGGGGCGACGGCGACGGCGGCGACGGCGGCAGCGGGCCGGGCAGCGGCGGTGGCGGTGGCGGTGGTCAGGGCGGCGGTGTCGAGGGCGGCGGTGTCGAGGGCGGCGGCGGCGACGGCGGCGGCGGGCTCGGTGGGGGCGGCGACGGTGGAGGCGGCGAGGGAGGCGGCGGGCTCGGAGGCGGCGGCGAGGGCTGCGGCGGCGAGGGCTGCGGCGGCAAGGGCGGCGGCGGCGAGGGCGGCGGCGGCGGCGAGGGGGGAGGCGGCGTCGGCGGCGGCGGGCTGGGCGGCGGCGGGCTGGGCGGCGGCGGGCTGGGCGGCGGCGGCGGCGGCAACGGCGGGCTCGGTGGGGGCGGCGACGGTAGAGGCGGCGAGGGAGGCGGCAGGCTCGGAGGCGGCGATGAGGGCGGCGTGGCGAGGGCGGCGGCGAGGGCGGATACGGCGAGGGCGGATGCGGCGGCGGCGGACTGGGCGGAGGCGGGCTGGGCGGCGGAGAG